TCCTGGCATCTTGGTCCCTGATATTATCGCCTTCGATGCAAGCGGGAGCACGGTGGCTGTGGCGTCCAATACGTGCAACATGATCCTAGTTTACTGCATCACAGATTCTTCCATTCCCAACGTGCAACAGATCCAGCTGCAAAAAAATGAGAGGCCCAAAGGGGTGTGCTTTTTCACCAACAAGATGTTGCTCTTCATGATTGGCCGGCAGAAGTCCAATGATCCTGCTTTCCTCCCTTCCTCCAACACGGACAAGTACATCTTGAGGCTAATAGCCAAGGAGTTGGTATTCGATGAGGAAGGTGCCACCCCAGTGGTTCCCAAGTCTGAGTCGGCGAGCCAACATCATGGGATTAGACGTCATTCTGAGAACTTTTCTAAAGAGGACCGTCTATCAATTAAGGATCTAATACTTCCTGGAGGCTCAGTAATTGTTTCGCCATCCAGTCGGAGGAAACTAATCGAGGAGGTACGCAGCTCAGATTTGAGCCCCGTGGCGAGCTCCGCCGACTTCTCAGATAGAGCATCCAGTGCCTCTTCTGTTACTCTGGAAACCTACGACATGGATCACATCAGCCGCATGGCTACGCTCGCCGTAGCCAGTCAGGCCAGCCGGGATTCCAGTCGACCCTGTTCGCCAAGGTACGAAGCCTCGGAAAAATTATACTCCGATGCAACGCCACCAAAGAACAGCTGTCAATCCAAAGAAAAGAACTTGGAGCAGCTGACACAGAACATGGAGAGGATTTTTACCCGATTTGCTGATGTCCAGCAGTGCCTCACAGAAATCAGAGACTTCACCCAGAACGGCAAAAAGATCGCATGCAGTTATCCGTCTGCTTATGAACCGCAATATGTGCACATTACGTGTCAGGTATGAAATGACCCGTTGTTTTCTTTTAAATTGTGCAGGGAAAGTCAGCAGTCTTCTGTAGTAGAAAAATCAAGAAAAAAACCCCAAATCTGTTGATTTATTTGTTTGATTAATTGCATAAAGAATTCTATTTTCGGCATTGTATTGAAAAATCATCTTGTCCAGTACTCTCAATATGCAAATTCAAGATTCTAAAACAAAAAAAGCTACATATAATGTGAAAAATTTACAATGTTACAATTTTTATTAGAAAAATATCAATATTATCATTTATATTACTATTAAATTTAATAATAATTATAATAATTTATTATGTTTAGTAATATAAAAACATTTAATAATACTAAAAATTCTAAATGTTATAAATAAATAATCTAAATTATAATTAATATAAAGAGTAATAATTATTATTATTTTATAAGAGTTTACATTACTATAATGTAAATGTAAACATTACAATATAAAAGCACAGAGCCTAATCATTTATTTCATTTGTTTATAAATAACTTATAATGAATTCATAAATAATTTATGACTAATCTAAATTCTAATTCTTATAAATAATTCTGATTATTTATAGTCATTTGCATTACAATACATTATAATGTAAATATAAAAATGATGATATCACAGACCCTTATAGTAATTTCTGGCTTTTTTTGTCAGACATTTTCATGATTGATTTGTATTTATTTTTATTTTTATTGAGTAGTTGCATTAGTTTTATTGTTTGTTTTTTTTATACAATAATTGTATTAGTAGTTCTGAGCAAACAACTGTTTGTTGAATTCATAAGTAGATTTTCTTCATATTCCAAAGCATTTCACATGCTGCTTAATTTGTATTTAAATGTTCAAAATAATAATTACACAGCAAAATAAATGATTACTTGATTAGATGATTTACTTCTAGAGCTAAATCCTAATCCAAACCAAGACTCTACAAAGCCCATTTTACTCTTAGTCAGACCATCAGGCCGTTTAGCATTGTGAGGCATCACGCCAACTCATAATTCCTCTCACTGTTGTCAGTACAACCCTTTGTCAGCAGATGTCAGATTGAAGTGATTCTGTTGACCTTGGCATAACTTGTTTTAGGGGAATCATCAGACTTAATCCACGACCACATGACCAGGTCCGTTGTGAATGATGCTTCCTTAAAGTGACTCATGGTGCTGCACTTTGTATTTGTCTTTTCCTTCAGAAACAGTTGTCTGAGAATGTGTATACGGATGAGAGAAGGCCGTTGTTGCTGTGTGGGGGACGGATCTGCCTGCGGGTGGTGCAGGAACTCTTCGGCCTGACGGTCATAGAGATGATGCATGGTATGTCTGGAAGAATGAGTCTCCATCACATATAAATATGGAGACTTTCCGAAATGTCAATCCCACCACCTTGATCAGTGCATATGTAATAAAATGAGACATAATCTGATGCAGATATGTATAGGGTGGCCATACGTCCTCTTTTTTCCCCATATGTCCTGGCCTTGATTTCTAAATTGGCTAGAATGTCTGGGTTTTGGCTTTGTTTTCTTATTGACGTGCTCTGTAGCACATTATATCTACACATTTGCATTGCTTTGACCTTTCTCTGTAAATCCCACCTTCTCCAGTGACACAATTGGTCGATTATATGCAGTGCCTCCACGCTATTGGTCAAACTACTTTTCAGTAATTTACCTGCAGCAAGCATGAAAACAATTGGAAAACAAAGCCAAAACTGGACATTTTAGGCACTTTAGAAATGCTGGCCAAGATACAGTGGGTACGGAAAGTATTCAGACCCCCTTAAATTTTTCATTAATGAGGAAAAAAAATTTACTTAAATGATTTTAGCAAATGGCTGCAATATAACAAAGAGTGAAAAATTGAAGGGGGTCTGAATACTTTCCGTACCCACTGTATATCCAAGAAATAAGTATGTATGGTCACCCTTTGCATTGATAAACTGACTATTTGAATTTGAATAGCAGTTGCAACCATTACACACTGAACGAAGCACCTGAATGTTTCTGAGATCTCTGTGTTGACGTTTCAGGCAGATTTGATGTTTTACAGCAAGCAGATGGCATGTATTAATGAAGCCGTGCAAAGCACGAATCCTGTTTTCCTTTGTTGAAGACAGATTGTTCGGTGTGCTTTGGCTTCATTTAATTTTCAATGACTAAAATAGGAAGCGATTAGGTGGAGCAATCGGATTTGAGGGTTTAAGTTTGAATCCGCTTACAGCCTTTTGTGCTGTGCATCTCTACAGCTGATGTATGCTTGAACCACTGTCACTTATGCTAAGACCACAAGTTACTGTGCAGAAATTTCTCATAGATTTAAAGGAATAGTTCACACAAAAATGAAAACTTGCTGAAAATGTACTCACCCTCAGGTCATTCAAGATGTGGATGAATTTGTTTCTTCTCCAGAAGAGATTTGGAGAAATGTAGCATTACATCACTTGCTCACCAATGAATCCTCTGCAGTGAATGGGTACCGTCAGAATGAGAGTCCAAACAGTTGATAAAAATATCACAATAATCCACAAGTAATCCAGTGAAAAGCTGTGTGTTTGTAAGAAACAAATGCATAATTGAGTTAATCCATAATAACGTTTCCTCCAGTGAAAAAGTTATCCTATGTTGTCTGAACATATTTCTTTAAGACTGTTTTGGTTTGTGAATGGACTGTTTTCGCTTGTAAATGGACTATTTTACTATTTGCTTCACAAGGCATAAATTGATGGATTGGAGTGGTGTGAATTACTTGTGGATTATTGTGTTGTTTTTATCAGCTGTTTGGACTCTCATTCTGACGGCACCCATTCACTGCAGATGATCTATTGGTGAGCAAGTGATGTAATGCTACATTTATCCAAATCTGTTGAAACAAACTCATTTTCTTCTTGGATGGCCTGAGGGTGAGTACAAGTTTCAGCTAATTTTTATATTTGGGTGAACAATTCCTTTAAATACTTTCTTCTTCTTCTCACAGGTCCCATGTGGATCGTCTTGGTGGCTGATGCAGATGGTTTCGTTCCGCTCACATTTAAACACAAAGATGAGCTCACAATCAGGAGTGCAAGAAGGAAATCTCCTATAAGACCCCCGAGTTGCGCTGATGTATTTCCCCCTGAAAGTCCAGTGTCTCCCAGTGCAGAAAAATGAAGCCTGTATCATCTCAAGAGGACTTATTAGAAATATTTTTATGATATTTGTCTTGTGTTAGCTGGACATCTGTGGCTAACACAGGGATAATCCAAACTCTTAGTTTGGAATTCAGGGAAAACGTCTTGCTGACATATTCGCCACTGTGATATTTATTGGATGTTGATAGATTTATGTAAGGTGACAGTTGTCAAGGGCAGAACAGTTTTTTAATTTTCAGATGAAATACTTGAGTGCCTGCTTGATTATTTTTGCTTAAATAGTTTCTATTTTGTCCCACGCAACAAAATGACATTTTGTGAAATTAAAGAAGATTCATAGTGATTGTATTCTTTTTTGTTTCTTCATTGATTTGAAGCTGTAAGGAACACATGACATCACATTCTGGTTCCATAGTAATAACCCACATTAAAAGAACCGAATAATAGCACATTCACACACTGAAAAATGATTATTTCACTCAGATTATTGCTTACATTTCAGAAATAATTGCAAAGTAACACTGAATTAAACATGAAATGTTTAAGTAGAAAAACTTTCTAATCTTTGTTTCATTTAAACTGTGTAAAATAATTTTTAAGTCCACCTTTGCACATTTTGCATCGCCTGGTTATTATTTATATTAAATGTAAAGATTCCTTTGGGCTTATGTTTAAAAACATACTGTACAAACACATATAGATAGATACATGAATTCATCCAAATAATATTCAATATTTTTATTATATATTTTTTTTACATTTATTGAAGCATCTTCGAAATATGCTGAAGCTACGTGAACCAGCACAATTTTTATTAATCCTGTAATCGAGTCATTCACTAATATTTATAATCACTAATACAACTTAATATATTATCAGTAAATTTTCCCTCAGGAAATCCTGATATATAATGATATATAGTCCATTCATGTGTGTAAATTAGTTACTGTAATACTGTATATGTGGCTATATGTTCACTTGAAAATACAGAAACAAACTGAAATGTTTACAGTAAAACATTATATATGTCGCACAGTGTAATATACACTAACACGACTCATCCCAGCGCTGGGCTAGAATATAAGGATCGGCTGTTTGAGGACGTCACGCGCTGCTCAGCTCAGCTCTGAGAGATTTACAGGTAATACTCTGGCTTCTGAAAAATAAACCACAAATATATACTTTATTATATACAGTATATACAAAATACAACAATATAAATTCAATTATATTTAAATTTTGTATTTTTTTACATTTTTATATACATACACACTGCCATTCAAATGTTTGGCTTCTGTAAGATTTTTTTAAATGTTTCTGAAGGAAATCATTATGCCCACCAAGGCTGCATTTATTTGACCAAAAATACAATAAAAACTAGTCAAATTGTGAAATATTATTACAATTTCAAACAACTGTTTTCTATTTGAATATATTTGAATATGCTATTTATTCCTGTGAAGAAAAGCTGAATTTTCAGCATAATTACTCCAGTCTTCAGTGTATTATATTTACATTTTGTATTTTTTTACATTTTTATATACATACACACTGCCATTCAAATGTTTGGCTTCTGTAAGATTTTTTTAAATGTTTCTGAAGGAAATCATTATGCCCACCAAGGCTGCATTTATTTGACCAAAAATACAATAAAAACTAGTCAAATTGTGAAATATTATTACAATTTCAAACAACTGTTTTCTATTTGAATATGCTATTTATTCCTGTGAAGAAAAGCTGAATTTTCAGCATCATTACTCCAGTCTTCAGTGTCACATGATCCTTCAGAAATCATTCTAATATGCTGATTTGCTGCTCAAGAAACATTTATTGTTTATTAATGTTAAAAACAGTTGTGCTGCTTAATATTTTTGTGAAAACTGTGATGACTTTTTTTTTCAGGGTTGTCTGATGTATGGAAAGTACAAAAGAACAGCATTTGTTTGAGATAGACTTTTTTTTTTTGCAACATTATAAATCTCTTTACTGCTGTTACTTTTGATGAATTTAATGCATACTTGCTGAAGGAAAGCAATGGATTTTCTGTAAATCAGGGTCTTCACCTGAGCTCCTCCAGGGCGAGTTTGTTTCGTAATCTGACGTCCTCACTGATCGGGTACAGCACCAGGATCATGAGGCCTGTGGTGATACAGGCCACCGGGGCGGCACCGATGAGCAGTTTGAGCGTATAGACCACTGGAGGGGGCTGTCTGCACGCGCCTGTGTCATAACCAGCAAACCTACAGACACCAACAATACATTTCAACACAAATACACCACTGCCTGTCATGATTCATCATTCCCAGCTGTAAATACTGAAAGAGTGATCTCACTGGAGACAGAGCGTCGACACTCCGAGAGAAATGCCTGCAGCAAACTTAGTGAAGAAAGCATATAGGGAGTAGAAGATCGCCTCGTGTCCTTTTGAGTTGCGGTTTGCCAGTCTGAAGTCATCCACTACATCTGGTAACATTGACCTGAGCAAAAGGAAACACAACAAGGCGGAGGCATCAATCATCATCTCCATTAAACATGGGCATTGGTACCATAAAGCCAAATCTTCTTTGTAGTCGGCACATAAAAGCTGCGATTTACTCATTTGGGGATTTTCCAATCAACCCGAGTGTATCTTTAAAAACCAAAAAACATCATGACCTTGCCATGAAACCTGTTATTTGGAGACTGCTGGGTTATTAAACCTACAGTATGCATCCGAGGGGTTAAATCAAAGCTTAAAGGCACAATATGTAAGATTTTTGTATTAAAATATCCAAAAACCACTAGAACAGTGTTATATATTTTGCTGACTTGTGTACTTACATTATCCCAAATGTTTCGAAGAATGTTTAAGTCCAGAGAAATAAGCAAATTTAACTAGTGACACGGACCGTGTCCATAGTGTCATTGTGTCGCCTGCCAATGACGTCATAACCCCTCGATTTCCGGTTTTGTTTTGTAGAAAACATGGAAACAACAAAGATGCTTTAATATGTTGTGCGTTTTAATAGACCGATGACGACCGCACAGAGTAGCATTATAACAGAACTTTCAAATGTATCTAGTATGATAAAACAGCGTTGCTTTTTTTCCCCCACATACGCACGACCGGAAGGAGCGGAAGCGGTCGACTGTGGCATAATAAAAGTTCCGCTGCTTTCGAGCCGTGTGTCACGCTCGTTCAGCGGCCTCGTTTCGCTTCAATGGCCTCACCCTGCTTCATTCTACCACGTTAATAAATCATTAGCTCATCCATGAACATGATTTCTGCATAAGCTACATTTCTGAAGAAGATGAGAGTGATGCTGCCTTTGTCATTGCCACTGCGAAACTGATCTGGAATTGAAAAATCAAAAAATACCATACTTCGTTTATGAGTAAAACAGTATTATATTTTGGTTTGTAAGACTCACCATGGTAACAAGAGAGAAGCGGCCACACTAAACCCAGATGATACGGCCACGACATATGCCACTATCAGATTAGGGATGAACACCAGCATCACCGTGAACGGCATGATCCACTGCACACATGACAATTTAAAAGAGGTCACTGAATGTTACACAATGAACATACGCATTGTACCAGCTTTAGGGGCCGTTCACATGTCGTGCCTAAAAACGCGTGGAAAACGCTAGGCGCGCCACTTTTTGCTTTTTTTCCAAAGCGTTCGGGCGCTTGCCCTCCGGAGGCGTCTGCCGTTGCTAAGCAACCATGACCTGCGCTCTCCATGAAGACGAGGAAGTTTCAGCAAAGAATAAATGGATTTGCAGCACTAAAAATCGCTTGCAGTAGCTCTGCTACTAAATTTATTTAAAAAATGGCTATCCCTGTACAGCTATGATCAGCTGTTCCTTCATCTTGGCTGAGCTTTGAATGTTGTTACGGGAAAGGATGAAGCTGATTGGTTGGTTCTTGTCACATGACCCGCGGTGCGCTTGTGGCATTCTGAAAAGTTGAAATGTTTTTATCTCGATGCGGCGCGGCGCCTGGAAAAAAAATATTAGAATTAGACCACGTCGCTTCCATTATGAGCGCGCCTGCCGCGCGTCTACATTTGAAATAACGAACTTGAGCGCGCAAAAGTGTGAACGGCCCCTTAGAGGGTCATGAAACCCCAGAGCCTAAAAACGCGTGGAAAACGCTAGGCGCGCCACTTTTTGCTTTTTTTCCAAAGCGTTCGGGCGCTTGCGCTCCGGAGGCGTCTGCCGTTGCTAAGCAACCATGACCTGCGCTCTCCATGAAGACGAGGAAGTTTCAGCAAAGAATAAATGGATTTGCAGCACTAAAAATCGCTTGCAGTAGCTCTGCTACTAAATTTATTTAAAAAATGGCTATCCCTGTACAGCTATGATCAGCTGTTCCTTCATCTTGGCTGAGCTTTGAATGTTGTTACGGGAAAGGATGAAGCTGATTGGTTGGTTCTTGTCACATGACCCGCGGTGCGCTTGTGGCATTCTGAAAAGTTGAAATGTTTTTATCTCGATGCGGCGCGGCGCCTGGAAAAAAAATATTAGAATTAGACCACGTCGCTTCCATTATGAGCGCGCCTGCCGCGCGTCTACATTTGAAATAACGAACTTGAGCGCGCAAAAGTGTGAACGGCCCCTTAGAGGGTCATGAAACCCCAGACTACTTTTTCTGAGATTTTAGCAGAGGTGTTTGTGTTGCACATCATAGAAGACAATGTTAGCATCCGATAATTTTAACTGTTGGAGAAAACTGGTTAATTTTAAGTTTTTTTTGCGCTATTTTCATCTTCCGGGTTTAAAATCTACATTGTGTTGACAGTCACAATTTGTGACGTGGCAATGGACTATAGTCAGTGTTGGGAAGGTTACTTTGGAAATGTAATAGGTTACAGATTACAAGTTACCCTACTTAAAATGTAATAAGTAGTGTAACTTTTCAATTACTTTATTAAAGTAATGTAACTGATTACATTTGATTACTTTTTGATTACTTTTCTAAATTTCTAATGTTTTCAACTATTAATCATTTTTAAACATGTAAACCCGGCAGGGTTAAACTTACAATATGTGTTCAACACTGCATTTTGTAATTAAATTACGTAATTCCGTTACATGTAACTAGTTACTCCCCAACACTGACTATAGTACATCGATGACGCGTCGTGTCTATTAAATTATTCATGAGACTGCGTGTTCTTATCCTATGAGAAGACGGCTTCACTTAATTATTCACAACAGCATGTGTTGATTTGCTATGAAAGACGTTTCAGACTGTGAGATGACATCACGCACATTAACTGAGAGAAACGTTCATGGATGGAAGAAGAGTGTTTGTTTTTGCTTTGTAATAAGAGTTCGGCACGAACGCGATTCATTCACTTCATAACCGTTTTTACAGCTCTGTGACACAACCCGTCAAAAGGCTTATATAAACACCACAGAATAAGCCTTAAAAGTTCTCAGAGGTGCAACAGCGCGTTCATATATATGTTTTCGATGCAGAGTGCAAATGGCTGTGCATTTATTTGTGTTTTTAACTCGATGGGAGCTAAATGAAACTGTCAGAACAAGCTGTGTGTGTTGTCGGTCTCCCCTCTTCCCCCTCCTCCGCTCCGCTGCGCACCAGGCCCACTTTTTTTAGCATTTTTTAAAACTGTGGCGAGAACTAACCAGTGCTGAAATGGGGGGGTTCATGACCCTATAAGGTGCGATAAGTATGTTTTTAACCTCCAGAAATGAATGATGCATTTTTGATCTGACTCCGGTCATATTAGGGAAGTCGTGGCCTAATGGTTAGAGAGTCGGACTCGTAACCCAAAGGTTGCGGGTTCGAGTCTCGTACCGGCAGGGATTGTAGGTGGGGGGAGTGAATGTACAGCGCTCTCTCCCACCTTCAATACCACGACTGAGGTGCCCTTGAGCAAGGCACCGAACCCCCAACTGCTCCCCGGGCGCCGCAGCAAAAAATGGCTGCCCACGGCTCCGGGTGTCTGTTCACGGTGTGTGTGTGTTCACTGCTGTGTGTGTGCACTTAGGATGGGTTAAACGCAGAGCACTAATTCCTAGTATGGGTAACCATACTTGGCCACATGTCACGTCACTTTCTAGTGGTCCAGAAAAGGCCATTTAAATTGTATATATACGATTTTGAGATACCTGAATACTGTTCATTTAATTCTGGTTAGGCCATTATTATCAGATACTTGGAGAATAAAATAATCTTGGATAACACCTCTGCTTGCAAATGAGCTGTTTTTACATTGACATCATGTGATGGTGCTTTCATGCCAACAAGTGTCAGTATACAGCTAAAGAACACTGTTGTACTGAAATCTGAAGTCTGGTCAATGATCATAATAGAATCCTACACTGAGAAAAAAAAAACACACATCAACATCTTCACACAGAATTTGCTTGTAAATTTAACAAATAAGTAAAAATAAATGGCAAGTAACACACTGAAGTAAAAGTGAAATTTTGAAGTAGAAAGACTAAAATAAATAGTATTTTCTTGTAAAACATTTGAATAATCTGTTTTATTTACATCTTTAAAAATTTATATTTTCAGTTTTATTTTATTATTTTTTTTAAACAATTTTAGTAATTTTGTTGTGCTTTTGTCAGTTTTATTATTTTGTTGTTATTTTATATTTCTATATTATATTTCTAGTCATTTTAGTAAATGAAAAAAATTCTAACTTTTTCTTGTCATTTTAATTAAATTTTTAATTTTATTTTTAATTGTAGTCATTTTTAATTCAGTTAATTGCTAAGGCAATTTCTAATTTCTAATCATTTCTAATTTTCTAATTCATTTTCACATTTTTTAAGTTTTTATCTAATATTTGCATTTTATTTTACTTTAGCTTTACTTTGATTACTGGAAACCGTTTTAATAGTTTTAGTTAACAATAGCAACACTGTTATACATGATAAACTTTTATTATAGTTAAAGGGGTCATATGATGCGATTTCAAGTTTTCCTTTCTCTTTGGAGTGTTACAAGCTGATTGTGCATAGATAAGATCCCTGAAGTTGCAAAGACTAAAGTCTCAAAACCAAAGAGATATTCTTTATCAAAGTTAAGACTCTGCCACGCCCCCCTAAAACGGCTCGTTCTAACACGCCCCCACATATCTACCTCACTATGTGGAAATATTTGCATAATGCTGCCCAAATGTTCACGCAAAGAAGAGGAGGTAATTCTGACTTTGCTATGACAATCTGGCGCTTTTGAATCAGCGACTGTAAGTATGTTTAAGTATTTGCTATTGACTGTTCAAATGCGGAGTTTTGTGCATCGTGTGTGTGTGTGTGTGTGTGTGTGTGCGCGCGCCCGCGCGTGTGTGTGTGTGAGAGAGAGAGCCAGAGAGAGCGCGAGAGAGCGAGAGAGAGAGAGACAGGGTCACATCACAGTGGAGTCAGCTGTCTTAACCGTGGCTTGTGTAATGCAAACACAACATTACACTGTCTTTACATTTATTTTGAAAGCTGAAGCTCGCGATTATGCTAAGGGGCGTTACATTTCCGACGAGTGCTTGCGGTGTTCGGCCAATCACAATGCACTGGGTCAGCTGGCCAATCAGAGCAGACTGCGCTTGTCGGAAGGAGGGACTTTGTAGAAAATGAAGCATTTGAGAGAGGCGGGGCATAGAGGACCTACAATAATGTACAGTATTTGAAAAATAATGTGTTTTTTGAACATTAAAGCATGTCAACATATTCTGTTACACCAAATACACAAAATAATGATCTTTAAAAAAGCATCATATGACCCCTTTAAAATACCTCATTATTGTCATTCATAATTTGGTAGTATCATTTGTTAACTTATAAAACTACTGAAGCTAAAGATCAATCGGATAAATTGGAGTCCTCCAAATCACTGATTAAAGAGATAGCTCACCAGTGTCATAATTTACTCACCCTCATGTTGTTCCAAACCTGTATGAATTTCTTTCTTCTGCTGAACACAATCTATGGCTACTGTCAACTGTTTGGTTGATTTATTATCTTCATTTGTGTTCAGCAGAAGAAATAAAAAAAATACAAGTTGGGAATAAGTATGGCAAAATTTTCATTTTTGGGTGGACTGTCCCTTTAAGAAAAAACACTTGATAAAATAACAATTACTGTAATGCCGCAGAAAGCTGCTGTTTTCTTCCCGAACTTCTCAAGGAACCACTGCCAGAATGGGATACTCACTGCGGCCGACATCTAGAAAGATATACAGTACAAAACGTCTGTCACATATTCACTTTACACAGACACAAATGAGAGAATAATAGAGAACTTTGTCTTTCTTTTAATGTCGGTGTGATGAGGAGCGCCAATGGCAGGACCGATTATCTACTGAATTAAGTTCATACGTGTGTTCTTCACTCACCAGAATTGTCAAAACAATGTTCTGAAAGTGTTCTCGCAGCTCCACCGCATATGTGCAGAACAGCACAAAGTTACTTTGTATCAACTGCAAAAGGAAACAGCAGTGAATGGAAATGTAAAACAGTACTAATGATGTCCTTTAATGAATCCAGCCGAAAACCTGTGATTAAAGGAATACTTCAATCAAGGATTAAAGTTTTTTTACTTTTATGTTCCATCAGAAAAATAGCCTACGGGTTTGGAATGGCGAGTACATAATTCTTCGGTGAACTATTCCTCAAGAAAAGCTAAAGCTTACATTCTATTAAGTTTGAAACCTGAAGAAACAGTATATGCTGCTAATAAATATAATTATTCAGTTACATAGTTTGCTCCACACAACAACCAACTGAACACATTCTAGAATGACATAACTAAAAGGAAAACATGTTACCTGGATGGCCACGGATATGAACAGGAAAGCCGCAGTCAGACTCAGGTAGGACCCATGCTTCATGACCAAAATAAAGCCCTTATGGAAAGGAATGGCCTTGTCCGTTTTAGGAGCATAGGGATCTAATGCAGACACAAAAAGTGGAGAAAGCCCAAATGTTAAACATGTTTTCTGCGGTGTAGAGTGACAAGTCTTCTGAAGCCATACAACAGCTCCGTGTCAGGCACAAAGTCAATATTCGCTTATATAATTTATATTTCTATATAGGAAATCTACGTGTATTCAAACCTGGTATGCACACCACATTTGTGAATGGATTTTGACCTGTTTTGGTTTGTTCACAAATTATATACACTACCATTTAAAAGTTTGGAGTCAGTAAAATTTATACTTTTGTTCAACAAGGAGATACTAAATTTATCATAAATGACAGTAAAGACTTGTACATTTATACAAACTATTTCTATTTTAAATGCGGTTTTAAATTTGTATTTGTCAAAAAAGCCTGAAAAATGCATCACAGTTCCCACAAAAATATCAAGCAGCACGACTGTTTTCAACATTGCTGATAATAAGAAATGTCTCTTGAGCATGAAATCATCATATTAGAATGATTTCTGAAGGATCATGTGACACTGAAGATGGGAAATTCAGCTTAGCATCACTAAGAACATGACATACGAGCCAGTTGTTTTAAATAGTACAATATTACACCATATTACTGTTTTTACAGTCTATTTGATTAAATAAATGCAGCCTTGGTGAGCATAAGAGACTTCTTTAAAAACAGATCTTACAGACCCCAAAGTTATGAACAGTAGTGTATCTTTAGAAAAAAATAGGATATATAGCTCACAAGTCATATGGATGAAAAGAGCAGCATGCACTTTCTGCCGACTATCTCCTTTTGTATTCTACAGAAGAAAGTCATGAAAATGTAACTTTTTGGGGTGAATTAATCATACTTTTCCATTCGGATGCAGTTGCAAAACCCAAATTTATGCCACATGATTACCACACATGCTCACCATCGCTCTCTTTGACTCCCAGGAACATGACCACCGTACAAACCAGAAACAGCCCACCGATCACTCCGGCAGCTATCATGTACACTTCCTTCTGTAAAGAGAAACAGACCATGAGCGGTGATGGAAAACTGGTTGTAGTTCTATTCCAGTACATGGTTGTCATGTTACGAATGATCATATTTATTTGAGTGTATTTGCTGCTTCAGACACCGTACTGTATGGTCTTGTAAAGTTTGGCGAGCCCAAATTAGGTGCAACCCAGAAAAGAGGAACTTTTCAATCTAATATCCCCAAACAGGAACTGCTCTGCCCTAAACAACCTCAGGATTGTTTGCTATTTTTTTCACAGACCGCGGCAAGCACGTCATTATTGTTCCAGATCAAAAGTGCCGCTCCAGAGGAGACGGTTGGCACACCCAACCATCCCGCAGAGGAATACTCAATCACACGGAGCGTGGTGGATTCGGCCCAGCCGCCTCTGAGAGCCTTAACCAGAGAGACGCTCGGCAGTCCAGCTCCAAATAGCTGTGGCCCTTCATGGTGCTCCATCATGGGTTTCCACTATGGAACCCTCAGCCACATCCACAAGCCAAGCTTGTCGGCTCACTCGCATGTCGAATTTGATTGACATTGAGCTCAGTGGCTCTCGGCTCGAAATAGAGTTATTCAGTCCACTAAATAAGCACATTTATTTATTGATTCTGTGGATTCTGATGAATATAAATTGTTCCCCTGAAAGTCACACTTCAAAGTCCAAACTTAATTAGGTTTTGGAGGGTTTATGGTTAAATGATACTGGATGCTTTCAGGGAAAAGCCATTTAAAAAAAGAAAGAAAGAAAAATAATTTAGCACAGAGGCAAACCAGTTCTCTTTAGAACTAGAAACTAGAACTAGAATCTAGAAACACAAACAAATTGTGAAAAATAATAAAGTTTCTATCTATCTATCTATCTATCTATCTATCTATCTATCTATCTATCTATCTATCTATCTATCTATCTATCTGTCTGTTACAAATATTGTTACAAAATCTTATTGATCACAATATATCGTTCATAAGTTTGAGGCCGATACGATTTTTTATTGTTTTTGAAATTAGTCTCTTTTGTGCACCAAGGCTGCATTTCTTTGATCAAAAATACAGTAAAAACAGTAAATTTGTGAAATAATATTACTATTTAAAATAACTATTTTCTATTTGAATATATTTTAAAGTGTAATTTATTCCTGTGACGCAATGCTGAATTTTCCTCCTGCTTTCTATTTTAACATTTTAAAATGTAATTTATTTCTGTGATGCAAAGCTGAGTTTTCAGCATCATTACTCCAGTCTTTAGTGTCACATGATCCTTCAGAAATCATTCTAATATGCTGATTTGCAAGAAACATATCTGTTTATTATGTTATAATGTTAAACACAGTTATGCACTTTAATATTTTTGAGGAAACCATGATACTGTTTTTTGCCAACATTCTTTGATAATTAAGAAAGTTTAAAAGAACAGCATTTATCTTTTTGTAACATTATAGAAGTCTTTATAGTCACTTTTGATCAGTTTAATGAGTCCTTGCTGAATAAAAATATGAAAATATATACGTAGTGTTGCATAAAATGCATCAAAATAGAATTACATAAATTTAGACCCAAAGGGACGGCTAATCAAAATGGTACTTACTTGTGCTTATCCGGATTGTTCAAACCGACTTAAAACTAAAAGATTACTTTCTCACGCGCGAACTCATTCATACGTGGAGTGGTGACTTTCCACGTATTCCCAACTTCTGAGCCTGCTCGCCTGAAGTTATGGTTGATTGCTCTTCGGCTGGATATCAACACACCCATTAACGTAAACTACACCAGAGCGCGTACACACCTCACGCACCGGATGCCGGGCGCTCAAAGCAGTTGGACATAGTGGTGTATTAGAGTTAAAATATGATATAAATACTGTTCGGTTTCTGGCACAAACCGATCGTTTCGTGTCTTAGGACATCAATGTGTCGTCACGAGCCGCAGGGTTTAATTTGGATTTGTCTGTGCATGTTTTTTTTACTCTCATAGATTTTGTTACCATTGCCATGCATTATACGACTGATAGACTGCAGTGGTTAAAGTTAAAAATCATCATGTGTGTTCTACTGAAGAAACAAAGTCACCTACATCTTGGATGCCCTGGGGGTAAGCAGATAAACATCAAATTTTCATTTTTGGGTGAAATAAGAGCTGTGGTTCACTAATGCACTTCGAGGTCAATTTTAGAGTAAAAGTGTAACTGTGACACGTACAGCATGAGACAGGAAGTCCTGTGACAGCGCCAAGGATCTGATGATCTCTGTGCCACTGCTGTTTCCCAGGTGACCAGTGGTCAGGTTTCGATGCGGACAGTGCTTCAGAGTGTGTGCGCTCGCTACGATCTGACCCTGAATGGCGGCACCCACCAGCGTCCCGAGCACCTCCACCGTCATACCTGCACATACGCATGCACAACATCTGTTATTTGCATTTGAAAGCATTTCCAAACATGCACAGCTCTCAACATAAGCACTTGGCACACATTTGTTTTTGGATTAATGGAGCACAATGAAATCAGATGTTGTTAATCTTCTAGAGCAATGCAAACACGGCTTTAAAGATGAACACTGTTGTGTGTGCAGCTGTAAGCTTACGGTAAGCTGTAGCAGAGTCTCTCTCCCGCTGGTCGGTGCTCAAGAACATGGTCAGGGCGGAATAAGGCACATGGAAACACTGCAAGAAAGATTTAGAACAAAGCACAAGACAGACAGTGATTAAGATGGACATTTTTATATGTGAACTCTCATTCTGAGCAATTATTTTTATTTACTGTCATAGAAAATTATATGCAATATGATATGATATGACAGCAATATGAGACGATATGATAAGATATATACAAATAACTAAATTTATTATTAATAATAGTCTGAAAATAGTAAAAAAATTAGCAGTTGTAAAAGGAGATAACATTGAAATATTAATAAATGTCTGCAATATGCAATATATTGCAAATGCAATAAATGCAACTGAATAACAATATTATATTATATAATATTTCAATACCAATATATTACAAGCTAAAATAAAACATTCTTAAATAGCCTCCTATATGGTTTAGGCAATAAAATTATTTTTGGTTCTAATTGGATGCTTTATTTTTAAGATGTTAAGAAATTATGGAGCATTCTGTATGCTCTCATAAATGATGATCAAAAAAAAAAAGGCGAGCAAAATGATGGGAGATCCAAAAGTTAGGGCGTGTACATTTATCAGTGGTTTCATAACCTCTCATCTTTCCCATTTATACACCCATTTATATTATGTTGTGTTATACATTTTAAAAGGAGACAACTTACAAGCTCATAAATCAACGCTATTCATTCCAAGAACAACATGTTCTGTGTACATGTGCAGTACAAAATCAATATTTATTGAAGTACAGCAAACCTTCCTTGAACTTGCATTGCAAACCTACTATAAGTGTGTACTACAGTCGGCTAGCTTTTCCAATTTACACGAAAGCCAAGTCAGCACTGCGGCAGACCAATGGGCCAAACGGCTACCAAAATCAATCTAAATCTTCTGCAGCAGTGCTTCTGTTTCTCAAGAGTTCCCTACATTGTTCATTTGACTTCCATTACGGTTTTTGATTCTGAGTAGCTTGAGGATTTGTTTATTTAAACATAAACCAAAGCCTAACTATGAAAAACGGACTAATTAGAATCATGTAAACTACATTCTCATACATGCACGCTGGAAGCAGCTGCTGTTTCTCAGCCTTGTGCTTACAGACAATGAAGAACGCTAAAAGAGGAAAGCAGCATTTATCCTCTCTGGTGGTTTGGGGCAGGTCGTACCATATATTTATCAAGTAGTTAGAATGACTTTTCATTACAGCGTAGACTGGAGTGGCTTCCCCACTCCAGCACTTATTGGCGGGTTTTATGGAGGTCAGTATGGAGAGAGCCGTGTCAAGCCATAGTAACAAAAGATAGAAACACAAATAAATCATGGAAACTCCATGCAGGCATCAAAGAGGCTGGGCTATAGATAACCACATGAACTTTTGTTGACAAGCTTTTTTAGCGAGATCATTTTACTTGAGAAGCCACACTGTGGAAGATACACTACCTTTAAACGTTAGGATTGTTTTATACATTTATTCCAAATTTGACTTTTATTGATACAGTAAAGACTTTCACATTGTTATAAAATAACCTATTTCGATTTAAATGCTGTTCTTTTGAACTTTCTATTCAAAGAATCCTGAAAAAAATGTATACTGATTTCCACAAAAATATTAAGCAGCACAATTGTTTTCAACACTCATAATAAAAAGAGAGCAGCAAATCTGAAATAATGACTGCTGAAAATTCAGGATTGCATCACATTAATAAATTCAATTTTTAAAAAAGATTAAAATAGAAAACAGCTATTTCAAATAGTAATATTATTTCAAATTTTTTATGGATTTTACTGTGTTTTCAGTACAAAAAATTCAGTCTTGATAGGCATAAGAGACTTCTTACAAAAAAACATTTAAAACAATCTTACTGACCGCAAACTTCTGAATGGTAATATATTATGCAGGGTTGCTTCTCAAGTAATTTGATCTTGTTTTACTACATTTTCATTACTTATAGTTGTTTTTATTTTATTTGATTTTATTCTTGTTTAAGCTCTTAATCCTTTCTCTTAATCCTTTTTTAAATAACGTGTTGAAAATGTTGTTTTTAATATATATATTAGGGGTTATTGGGTTGTAGGATAGTCTTGGAGGAAGGTCTATATATTTTCATCAGTCATATATATTTCTCATCACAAAACCAAAATATCGCCAATGTAAAACAGAGGCAGAATTAGAATTTAATGGATCTGCGGGGTATTTGTGACATGATGGATGGTGCTGTTAATGTGGTTTCTGGGTCATCTCTAAACCTGAACATGAAATTACATTACAACGTTGAAAACATCAAAGCAAAGGGTACTTACTGTGATTGCTGTAGGAATAGTCATCTACACCGCTGGAACGCAGGCCACACAACCACAGTGACAATCTGACATGGTCGTCGTGTATTTTTTTTTTTTGCAGGATGTGGGGAATGTGTTGGCCATTTATAATTCATACTGATACAAGTCTTCCATATAGCATTATGGGAGAGGCAATCAGCTGCAAGCATGAGCCAATGAAAGTAAGAAAAATTTAAATAATAGAGCTGAAAGAGCCTTTTCTCAAAACGCAGTGAGCCAGCTAAATTATATAGAGAATATTCTAAATTTTGTAGTTTTTTTTTTTTTACGTAATTTATTTACAATATATTTACTAATTCTTAAAGTAAATGCAAGTAACTTCAAGATGGTATTGTATCTTTTCTGCATAAAATTTTTAACTCTACATCTACAAAATTATGAATAAAGAATGTGCATTGGTTGTTTTTGCTTTTTTATGTTTTTACTCATTTTATGTAGGTGCTGTATGATACGATCCTTCCTTTTCGACACTACACTACACTAGCGAAATGTCATTGTCCTTATAGCGCTGTTACATCTTACTTGTTAATCATGTCAACAAAAAGAATGAATGAATGAATAATGGTGATTATGAGTCCAACATGTCACTCACATACATGAGGTGGTTGCTAGGGTGTTGCCATGTGGTTGCTAGGGCGCTTTGGGTGGTTGCTATGGTGTTGCTTTGCGGTCGCTAGAGTACCCAGGGTGGTTGCTAGGGTGTTGCTATGCAGTTGCTAGGGTGCTCGGGTTGGTTGCTAGGGTGACGCTACCCAGGGCGGTTGCTATGGTGTTGCTATGCAGTTGCTAGGGTACTTGAATGGTTGCTAGGTTGGTTTGGATGGTTGTTAGGGTGTTGCTATGCATTTGCTAAGGTACTCGGGGTGGTTGCTAAGATGTTACTATGAGGTTACTAGGGTACCCAAGGCAGTTGCTAGGGTGTTGCTATGCAGTTGCTAAGGTACCCAGGATGGTTGCTAGGGTGTTGCTAGGATATCGGGGCGGTTGCTAGGGTGTTGCTATGCAGTTGCTAGGGTACCCAGAGTGGTTGCTAGGGTGTTGCAATGCGGTTGCTATGGTACCCAGAGTAGTTGCTAGGGTGTTGCTATGTGGTTGCTAGGGTACCCAGGGTGGTTGCTAGGGTGATTAGAATGTTACTAACATGTTGTTACCATGATTAGCACGTTACTAGCATGTTGCAAGCATGTTTCTAGCATGATTAGCATGTTATTAGCATAGCTATAAGTAGATGCCCTTTTAGCAGCTGTTTCGATGGGCCGCTATACGTAAGCCGTCCGCCATATTGGAAGATTGCGAACGCGTCAACGTATCTGGAGCGGTCGAATGCGGCATCTGTACATATCTATGGTTATAATGTTGTTAGCATGACTAGCAAGTTACCAGCATGTTTACAGCATGATTAGCATGTTACTAGCATGTTAATAACACTAGCATGTTACATACTAGCTCACACAAACTTTCAATTACAGTCGATTCAACTTTGCAACTGGATCTCATGTTAAACAATAACTAGGCTAATAATATTTTTGTAAATATTTGAATGTTTTTATATATAGACCTATATTTCAAAATCTTCCGAATATTACCATTATTAATCCATGCAGCAAAACTCTGTTGTGAATACCTATAGGCCTATCTCTTTGTCATTTGAGTCTGACAATAATGAAAAAAACAAAACTGTTAATAGGCTGTAATGTGTCACAAACCAACAATATAAATCACTGAATGGGTTCATTACTTAAAACTGACTCAGTAAGTTCAGTAAGGAGTCATGACGGCTCTGAATGAGTGAATTTGAGGTAGTTTGGTGAATTTTATATGAAAAGAACCAGGTCATAAGAGTCATTTTCCGCTGTATTCATTTGTTGTGGGCAGGAAACACTGGCACGCACTAATGAGATGAAATCTGACGAAACTCAAATGGACGCACGCAAACCCTTCACAAATGTGGATTTCAAATTATTGTTGCACATTTTTATTATATTTTGTCGCATTTGGCACCATTTTAGTCACAATCTACAGCCCTGTTTCCCGTATCTCCGCTTCAGGAGTGAGACTCGTCCCACAGCAAGTAATCGTTAGCTGAGTGCTGAATTCAGGTTATTGGCTTCTGTTCTAAATTACGTGACCTTGTCAACTCTAGAACTATCACAACCCTGTTCCTGTAAAGAAAACCTCAATGTTCAGTCAGGTCATTTCTAAGCAGGTTTACCCTGGACACACTGACCTCTGCGCAACACTGCTTTTCACTTTCACAGAGAATAAACAAGTGTAAGCAAACAAGCAACACAGAGAACAGTGAGGTAAAGAGAGTGGCCAATTCTGGCACAGTCCAGATGCCACTACTGCAGTGTGGAGCAACCCGTGTGCCCTGCTGATTGTTCGGTCACACAAAGGAGCCGCCGTACAGGAAAGAGAGAGAGCAGGACAGATGGGTTAATGTGAATGGAGACAGCCGGACGGTCTGTAAGGTTCTGAATGACCTGATACTTTAACTCTGGGTGAACTGGGGGCAAGTGACCTGAGGGAAATAATGCACAGACACATGTAGCGAGGTCCAAAAGTTTGAGACCACTATAGAAAATGCTTACAGTATTTTAAACTTAAAAATACAAGACACATTTTTATCAACATAGCATAGTCTTTTTACCCAGGATTTTACCTAGATTTTCTTATATTTAACCAAAACATAGTAAACTTTTTTATTTAATCTCAAAATGTAGTTTATTTCCATTTATTAATTTTTTTTTTAATGTAATGTGGTCTCTCGACTTTTTAACGTCAACATACATAGTATACAGCCATAGTTTCTCACACAAAAAATCATACAACAAAACATGACAAATTATTTTAAAATGATAAGAGATAATAAAAAAAATTTAATATACAGTAATGATCTGTTAAACATTATAACGTAATAATTCAAAATTTTTTTTTTTTTTCAGTTTATGTCAGAACTTTTCTTGGTTTTAAATTTATTCCTAAAATTTAAACACCAATAATTACTGACACAAAAGCAGAATAAAGTACAATAAAACATGATAAATTATAATAACATAATAAAAAGTAAATATACGGTATTGATCTGTTAAGCATTGTTATGTATATAAATTGAACAAAAATATTTCTAAATATTTTTTAAATATTGCTAAAACTCAAACACCCACAATTATTCAAGCAAAAGTCAAATAAAACATGATGAATTATAATGAAATCATAAAAATTCATAAAAAATAAAATACAGTACTGATGTGTTAATATTATTATATAATGTTTCTTAATCATTTGTAATGAAACTAATGAAAGAGTTACCCAAAAATGCATAAAAATAAAAGAAAAAGATTTTCCCCCCTATAAATCGGCTTACTCACAATGTCTCTGGAACTTTCCATTTTTTTGTGGCATTACATAATTTCTTTGTACATCAAACAAAGAGTGTTCCTAAAAATTTTAGCTTCTAAACATCATCTGACAGTTTAAAAGGTAGTTTAAAGAGGACAAAAAACAGCACTTTAAGAATATCAATTCTAATTACATAACTAAAAACCAAATAAACTTAGTCATTTTTGCATAACACTAATGGGATGAGTAATATAGTAGAATTTGCCTTTTGAAGAAGGAACATAGAATCTGTAAATCTAAATGTTGTCTTTGTGTTGGCACAGCTTTAGCATAATAAACACTGAGACACACCAGAAGACCCACATGGGCATGGCTGAGATGTTCCGCAGTGATTCTCTGAAAACAAACCTTAACTACTTCCTCCCAGACACCATGATGTCACACCAGAGTATAATGGGAACTTCCTGTCAGACACTCACATCTCGGGTATTTTGTCACTTTAATCTCCTGAGACATCCACATGGAAAGCACTTCCAGATTTGTAATTATGCCCATTTTAAGAGGCCTTCAACCTTTAGCAACCTTTTGGTACCTGCTTAGATGTCATTATTACTTAAGAATGTAGTGTTATCTTGACTAAAGCCTGGAAGACACCACACAACTTTTTAAGACACTATGCACCTTAAACTTGCTGACTTTGTGAATGTTTACAGACAGAAAAAAAAAGTTATTCTCATACACCACTCACCATGGCATTAGTCGCCCAATCTTTGTCCATTTGCTTTTAGTAATGAAGAATCCCACAATGGGGTCAGTAACTGCCCCCCAAGCCTTGCTGACGAACAACACCATGGAGGCCTGGAATGGGTTAATCTGTCAGGAGAAGAGAAAGTGAACATCTACATTAATGGAAATCCTTATCTGTTGTTCAGACTGTAATAAGGTTCTTGCTAGAAGTATTGTATTAAAAGTATATATATAAAAAAAGAATCAGTAACAGTGAAATTATTTTTGACTTCTCTTCCACTGAAAACATTAACAGGGTGCTATTCTGTGATTAATATGCTCTATTAACTTCATTTCCGCAAGTATTTTATAGCTTAATATTTAATTATAATATGTGGAGATCTTACCTGTGCAATGTCAAGTAGATATATTTGAAGGAAGAATGCTGTTGCGCTCCCGGCGACCTGATTCGGTGCTCCTCCGATGGCGAAACAGAGTTTGCTACATACAGAGAGCTTCTGATCCAGATGAGTCTGAAACAAAAAGTCTCCGAGTCAGAAAATAATATCCAACACAAATACTATATTTTGGAGAGTACAAGAAAAATCCTGTCTTTAAGGTTAAATTTTTAAGCTGATGGGTCATTTTTATGGCAGCATTTGTACCTGAAAGATTCATTTTCAAATATTTAGCATTTTATTTAGTTTGAAATATCATATACACACAATATATATAC